TTTTAGGCACGCTCCATTTATCCACAGTCACAGTACAAGTTTTAAACACACAGAACACGAGTGGTGACTTTGCACAAACTCAGTCATGTCATTTGGAAAGTCATAACACTAGACGTAGAAAATTACTTTACTAATGTGTAAGTTAGTTCTGCTTAAAAGAGTATTTACAAGGTAGACACCACAGTACTATCACATTATGTGGTTGGTATTTTACAGTCTCAGAACACAGGACTGTATTTGTTAAGATACTGTAAGTAAAGTGATTACACTGGGACCAAACAGTGGGTTCTGCATTTGTATCGCGTGATAACATCCAAACATCATAGCCCTCCGTTTACGCTAACAACACTGCTATCTAGCCGTTGGGGGTTTAAAACCCATTCCGTGTTTCTGAGAATCGATAAAATATCACAAAACAATAACACTGCAATACTCAAGTGTATCAGTATTTTCTTACACCCCTAAAGATGATATTGTTTTTGTCATCTCAACCATTATATAATCCAATCACCCCACTCCAAAGAGGTGAAGGGGATGACAGGAGGATGTATAAAGAGGATAGGAAGGCTGTAAATAGTCCTGTTAATAGAAACAAAGGAGGAGAAAGAGATGGAGGTGAGCAGCGAGACGTCTTCCCTCCCCTGAGGTCTGATGCCATTTCAGGTTGTGTCACTGCAGGAGGCCGCAGGGCACAGGTGGCTCAAATGCCACAGACACACACACACACACACACAGACGGCTCATAAACCACAAGCTATTTTCCCACACAACACTTTCAACAGAGCCAGGATACATGCACATACTGTATACCTACTTAGAAAAAGAACCTTAACAGTGAAATATAGCTGAGAGTCAGCAGGCTGCAGGAATACACCTTAGTATTAGGGGAGTAGGGAAATATCTATACACTTGAGTATTTTGTTTGGTGATATTGTATCAGTTGTCAAAAACATTATTGATTTTTATGTTTAAACCCCCAACTGCAAGATAGCAGTGCTGTAAAAGTAAACTGAGGGCTATGATGATGGATGTTATAGGGACTGTGGTACATACAGATCCCACTGTTCTGGTCGCAGGAAGGAAAAAAGGTAGTTTTGTTTTATTTGTTTTATTTATTTTATTATTTTAAGTTCACTTTTTTAGATGTCATGTGTCAGTGTGACAGTTTTCCTCATATTGGATTTTTTTTTGTAAATATATTGCCTTGCTTATAGTATCACATAATATCGAATTGTAACTTCAGATATGACTCACGATTAGTGTGGGAATGATCACTTTTGCATCACAAATTTACTTTTGACTGAAGAAATCATGCTGGGTCTCTGTGCCAAACAAACATGTCTTCTTAAATCTGGAGAACAAGATTTGTAGGCCAGGGATCTGTGCAGCACTACAGCACACCATGATGATGCTATTTGGATATTGTACTGGTCATATTGCAGTTTCCATAACATTCTGATTAACTCTTCAGGGCTACGTTTTTGCTAGGTGACATACTCTGTAATAGTAAAATCCATATAAATACTTATTATGCACTGAAGTAACAGCAGCAACAGTATTCCCCTGTGTACTGCTTGTAATGCTGGTTTTATTTATGAGGGCAAAGAACTACAATTCAGAGGTTAAAGTGAAGATTGCTGATCAACTTTAACTGCTGTTGGTCAGTATCAACTCTATTGTGGAAACCTAATTTAGCAGCAGCTAAGAAATGAGACTGGCTGGTATGTTGTGCCCTGCTGCTGAGATGTGGAACAACACACTTTGACCAGAACAGTGAAGCCTCAAACACACCGATACTAACGTTAGTGCATACAACGTCACACAGGCCAAACATGCTGTAGAGAGACAGAAATATTATCATGCAGCCCATATTTAATTAGAGACTTTCTCCCTCTCCGTCTCTGCCCAGTTATATCAACACTGCCTTTAAGCAGCCCTTTGACCAAGTCCCACTGAGGGGACAATAATTCACCGTCAGCCCTCCTCTTTAATTAAACTCCACAAACAGCCTCCTCTTCCTAATGTGTGTGTGTGTGTGTGGTCGGTGGTGTTTGTGAATTTGTGTGTGGTGTGTCGAAGGGTTGGTGCTGTGTCGTCGCGGTGGTGTTGTGGTGTGTGGTGTGTGTGTGGTGCTGAGGAAAGGAGATGACATCATCAGGCAAGTCAGCAGTCCTTTTTTGCCACAGCGGGCAAGAAAAAACAACTACAGCTGACTAAATGGAGATAGAGGAGGAGAGAGCTTTTATTTTCTGTAACAGGCACTCTTTTAGTCTTTTTCTTTGTCTGTTCAGCCACACTGGTTCTAACCCATCACTTTCTGAACTGATTCTGCCTTCAAAATAAAAGTACGATACATGTTCTGTG